GTCAGGGATTGTGATGCCTCCCGTTTTGTTCTTTTTTCTTAGGATTGCTTTAGAAATTCGGGGTCTTTTGTTGCCCCATATAAATTTTAGGATTCTTTGTTCTAATTCTGTAAAGAATGTCATTGGGATTCTGATTGGGATAGCGTTGAATCTGTAGATTGCTTTAGGTAGAACGGACATTTTAACTATGTTTATTCTTCCAATCCATGTACATGGAATGTCTTTCCATCTCCTTATGTCATCATCCAATTCTCTCAGAAAGGCCTTGTAATTTTCATTATATAGGTCCTTCACTTCCTTAGTTAAATTTACCCCAAGGTATTTTATTCTTTTTGTTGCGATTGTGAATGGTATTGTGTTCTTGAGTTCTTTTTCTGTTAGCTCGTTGTTAGAATATAGAAATGCTACTGATTTATGCAAATTGATTTTATACCCTGCAATTTTGCTGTAGTTGTTGATTACTTCTAAGAGTTTTCCAATGGATTCTTTGGGCTTTTCTATATATAAAATCATGTCGTTTGCAAACAGCGAGAGTTTCACTTCTTCCCTCCCTATTTGGATTCCCTTTATTCCTTTATCTTGCCTGATTGCTCTGGCCAGGACCTCCAGTACTATGTTAAATAAGAGTGGTGATAGAGGGCATCCTTGTCTCATTCCTGTTTTCAGGGGGATGGCACTCAGTTTTTGCCCATTGAGTATGATCTTGGCTGTGGGCTTGTCATATATGGCCTTTATTATCTTGAGGTAGTTCCCTTCTATGCCCATTTTGTTCAGAGTTTTTATCATAAATGGCTGTTGGATCTTGTCAAATGCTTTCTGTGCATCTATTGAGATGATCACGTGGTTTTTATTCCTCAGTTTGTTGATGTGGTGTATCACGTTGACTGATTTGCGGATGTTGAACCATCCCTGTGTCCCTGGTATGAATCCCACTTGATCATGATGTATGATCCTTTTGATGAATTGCTGAATTCTGGTGGCCAAAATTTTGTTTAGAATTTTTGCGTCTATGTTCATCAGTGATATTGGCCTGTAGTTCTCTTTTTTTGTGGCGTCCTTGTCTGGCTTTGGTATCAGCGTGATGTTGGCCTCATAGAATGTGTTAGGAAGTGTTCCATCCTCCCTAATTTTTTGGAATAGCTTGAAAAGGATAGGTATTAAATCCTCTCTGAAAGTTTGGTAGAATTTCCCAGGGAAGCCATCTGGTCCTGGGGTTTTATTGTTTGGGATGGTTTTGATTGCTGTTTCAATCTCTTTCCTTGTGATTGGTCTGTTCAAATTGTCTGCTGCTTCTTGGGTGAGCTTTGGGAGATTGTAGGAGTCCAAGAATTTATCCATTTCCTCTAGGTTATCCATTCTGTTAGCATAGAGTTTTTCGTAGTATTCTCTTATAATCTGTTGTATTTCTGTGGAGTCTGGTGTTATTTCTCCTCTTTCATTTCTGATTTTGTTTATTTGAGCTCTCTCCCTTTTTTTCCTTGTAAGTCTGGCTAGGGGTTTGTCAGTTTTATTTATCTTCTCAAACAACCAGCTCTTTGTTTCACTGATCCTTTCTACCGCCTTTTTCGTTTCAGTAGTATTTATTTCTGCTCTGATTTTTATTATTTCTCTCCTGCTGACTTTGGGCTTTATTTGTTGTTCTTTCTCTAGTTCAGTTAGGTGTAGTTTAAGATTGCTTATTTGGGATTTTTCTTGTTTGTTAAGATGTGCCTATATTGTGATGAATTTTCCTCTTAATACAGCTTTTGCTGTATCCCATATGAGTTGGTATGGCATGTTATCAGTTTCATTAGTTTCCAGGTATTTTTTGATTTCTTCTTTAATTTCTTCAATGATCCATTGCTTGTTCAGTAGTGTATTGTTTAGTCTCCACATCTTTGTGCCTTTCTCAGCTTTTTTTTTTGTAATTAATTTCTAGCCCTATAGCATTATGATCAGAGAAGATGGTTGTTATTATTTCAATTTTTTAAAATTTGTAGAGGCTTTCCTTGTTTCCCAACATATGGTCTATCTTTGAGAATGTTCCATGTGCACTTGAGAAGAATGTGTATTCAGCTCTTTTAGGGTGAAGTGATCATATATGTCTATTAAGTCCAATTGTTTTAGTTTTTTGTTTAGCTCCACTATTTCTTTGTTGATTTTCTGTCTGGATGATCTGTCCATTGATGTGAATGGGGTGTTGAGGTCCCCTACTATTGTTGTGTTGTTTTTAACATGTTCCTTTAGGTCTGTTAATAGTTGCTTTATGAACCTTGGTGCTCCTATGTTGGGTGCATAGATATTTATAAGTGTTATTTCTTCTTGATGAAGTGTCCCTTTGATCATTATATATTGTCCCTGTGTGTCTCTCTTTACTTGTCTTATGTTGAAATCCACTTTGATATAAGAATTGCAACACCTGCTTTTTTTTTCCTTGCTATTAGCTTGAAGTATTGTCCTCCACCCCTTCACTCTGAGCCTGTGTTTGTCCTTGTGGCTGAGGTGTGTTTCCTGGAGGCAACAAATTGTTGGATCTTGTTCTTTAATCCATTTTGCCACTCTGTGTCTTTTTATTGGAGAGTTCAATCCATTTACGTTGAGAGTGATTATTGATGCATGTGGACTTAAAGCTGTCAATCTGTTGCTCATTATCTGGCTTTCCTGCTTTTCTCTTCCTGTGTGCTTTATCCTACGTATTTGATACTTCAATTTCTTATGCTAGGTTTCTTAGATTTTTGCGTATTTATGTTTTGTGTCTCTGTTCTGTTGTTTAGTTTAATGTCTACCCTGAAGTTTGTATTTAGAATCTCATGTATAATATAGTCTATTCTCTGGTGGTCTCTTACTTACTTGGCCTAGACTAATTTAGTCCCTTTGCTCTTCCCCTCCTAAATTGTTATTTTCATTTCTTGTTCCAACTTGTGTTATGCGTTTGTAGTTAGAGTGATAAGATCGTCTTTGCTTTGGTCCTTACCTTTATCCTAATGCTATAGTTGAATATTTGCTATCCTATTCTGGTTCTATTTATCTGTCTCCCTACTCTGTGGTTTGTGACCCCTTTCTCCCTTTTTTCTTTTTACAGGTATGAGAGCCTTCTTGAGGATTTCTTGTAGTGGAGGACTTTTGGTTACAAATTCCTTTAACTTTTGTTTGTCTGGAAAAGATTTAATATCTCCCTCATATCTGAAGGATACTCTTGCTGGATAGAGTATTCTTGGCTGAAGATTTTTATCTTTTAAAGCTTTGAATATGTCACTCCATTCTCTCCTAGCTTGTAAGGTTTCTGCAGAGAAATCCGCTGAAAGCCTGATAGGGGCTCCTTTGTAGGTAATTCTTTTTTGTCGTGCAGCCCCGAGTATTCTTTCTTTGTCATTCCTTTTTGCCATTTTTACTACTATATGCCTTGCAGTAGGTCTTTTTACATTGACAAATCTAGGAGATCTGAAAGCTTCCTCTACACACATTTCTCCCTCAATCCCTAGATTTGGGAAGTTCTCTTCTATAATTTCATTAAGTACACTTTCTGCTCCATTTTCCTTTTCTACGTTCTCAGGAATTCCTGTGATCCTTAAATTCTTTCTCCTCATTGAATCTGCTATCTCTCTAATACTTTCCTCATTCCTTTTAATCCTTAGTTCTCTTTCTTCCTCTGTCTGGAGCCATTCCGCCTGTCTATCTTGGATTATGCTAATTTGTTCTTCTATGGAGTTTACCCGGGCATTCAGGGAATCCGTATTCTGTTTTATCTGGTCCATTGTGTTTTTCATCTCTAGTTATTCTGTTTGATTCTTCTTTTTAATTTCAATCTCTTTTGTGAAGTAACTCCAGAACTCGGCTTGTTTCTCTATCTTTCTCTCTACCTCATTGAGTTTTTTGATTATAGCTACTCTGAACTCATTTTCATTTAGTTTACCTAATTCCAAGTCCTCAGGACTTAATTCTATGTTTTTATTGTTTTCCTTCTGGTCTGGAGCTTTTATAAATTGCTGCATGGTAGAGGAGCGGTTTTTTCGCATGGTGGTAGAATTCGGTTGCAGTTACTGCCTGTCGCCACTAGATGGGGGTCGAGAGCCAGGTGTTCTGAGCTCTCTGCCTTCGGGCAAGATGTCGGCACCCAGTGCGTTTTGCTGGGGCAAGGGGTGGTTTCTCTTCCGCGCTGATCTGGATTCGATCAGTTCTGTTCTCTGGTCTCCCAGGGCCCTGCGTTTATGGGGTCCCCACGCACGGAAGCTTTGCCCCCTCAGTGGGTTTCCACTGTACCGGCGGCAGGAGTCCTAGATGATCCCTTGGTCGCGCGGCCCCTCCCCCGCTCCTTCCCGGACCCACGCGCGATCCCGGTTTCTAAGGGATGGAGCGATGTTCTCTCTTACTCCGTTCCAGCTCCTCCAAGGCGGGCAGTAAGTAGGGGCTCCGTCTTCTGTCTTTTGATACTGTAGGTCTTTGAGTCCTGGCATTAGCTTCATTAGCTGAAATTCAGGTTTTGTTTTTGTTTGTTTTTTTTTCAGTCCTTTGTTGTACTTTGGAGGGGAGAGAGTCCCGGGTCAGCTCACTCCGCCATTTTGCTCCCTGAACAGTTTTTAATGACAGAAATTGAGACTTATTCAGCTTTGAATCTCCAGCCTCTACCACGATGCCTGGCATATGTGATTGGCATTAAGTAAATATTTAAATAAAGTGGTTAATAACAAATGTGGCTCCAGAGTCTAACTGAACAAAGTAGTTTAATATTTTCATTGTTTTTTAAATGGAGCATACTCTTCTATTTTGGGTTGTAACTGGATTTAAAAATAAAACTGTTAGACTGAAATGAGTTTACGTTATTTTAATTCTCTGCACTAAATTTCTTCAGAATCTCATTAGAATTTTCAGAATGTGCCCTGGTTTTAAGTTTGACAGCAAGCCAGCACTATCCACTAGAGCTTTCTGTGGTGATGAAAATGTTCTGTATCTGTGTTCTCCAGTATGGTAGCCACTAGCCACATGTGGCTGTTAAGCATTTGAAATGTGGTTAGTGGAACTGCAGAACTGACTTTTTATTTAAAATACAATTAATTTCAATTTAAATCACCATGTGTGGTTAGTGACTACTGTATTGGATACCGCAGGTTTAGACATTCTTGCTAATAAAAACTAACATTAACTTCATATTTTATGGTTTATAAAGGACTTTGTCATTAGCTCTTGCCCCTTCCTTTCTCTTTTTTGGCCACTTCTCAAACTTTTATCAAAAGCTTCCATATGACTGTGAAGAATACAGTAGTAAATTAGATTATGAATTAAGATGACTAATGAGAGCGCATGTAATTTGAAGTTTAACCAGACAATGCAGGAAGGGAGATGATTAAAAAAAATTCAGCCCAATTCTTGAGCTTATCTCTTGAAACACTATTGGCCTATTTTAGTGTGTGAACTATAGGAGGTTGAGAAAGACACATAAAACATAGTCTTGCTTTTCATTAAATCTATATTTGAATGTAAATTGTCTTTTGGATTGGTGGGTGACTAGGGCATGCCAGTGTAGAAATCCTCTTCAAAGTGAATGATAAAATCATCCTGATTTCTCTGCTGTCAGACCTACTGATATCCAAACAGCAAGTACTATGGGAGATATAAAACATGGCCTCTCTTCTCAATAAAACAAAGTGAGGAGAATTTTCTCCTTTGGAGACAAATCTGAAACTCACTTTATCTGCCTCTTGATCAGCTTTCTCAAACTTAGTGCTACTGACACTTTAGACCTGTTAATTATTTGTTTTAGAGGGCTGTCCTATTCATTTTAGGATGTTAGCAGCATAACTGGCTTCTGCCCACTAGATGCCAGTAGCACCCCTCGGTTCTGACAACCAAAAATGTCTACAGACGTTGTCAAGTGTCCCTGGGGGCAAAACCACCCCGTCCCCCTCATTGAGAACCACCGTTCTAAGTATACTCTAGTTACATATAAATACTTGGACCATAAGTTGAACGGTAATCTATTATTCTACTTCATTTGCCCTTTGGGGAAGTTCTGTTCCCCAATATCGTTTCTAAGGAGCCCAGAAATGCAGTCGTCTCATGTTTTATCCAGGAGCTAGATGTTCTGTGAAAGTAGGAGAATCATTTAGATTTTCTAGCCCAGTATACTGCCAGGAAGCAGTAGATCTGATCACATTTTATAGATCAAAAAACAGACTCAGGAGGAATATGCTTTGACAAGTTCATTTAGCAGGTGGTAGAGATTTTGAACCTAAGCCTTTTGTCTCCAGATGATATGTATATAATACTTACCTGTAAAAAAGAAGATACCAGAATTTTGACTAGAACTACTCTGATAGCAGCAGTACAGTTTAGAGATTAGAAATTTGGACCAGAGCTAGGATTAGGGTGAGGCAGGCAAGGTGCCTAGGGTGCAAAATTTAAAGGACATTCACTCTTCACTCTCAGGTTCTAGCCCTGACTGGGAGCATTGGAGTCAGACTGCCTGGATCGTGTCCTGGTCTTGCCTGCTATTAGTTAGTGATGTTGGATAAGTTACCTAACTTCTTGTTCCTCGGGTTCTTTTTCTGTAAAAAGGAGATGATAATGTCTGTCTTATAGGATTTTTGTGAAAAATGAGCCTGTACATTTAAAGTACTTATGAAGTGCACAGTACGACTTCATTATTAGTCTAGTAAACGTGATGTTCGGATGCACATCTGAATCATTTGGGGAAAAGAAAATGAATTTTCTCCATGTTTAATTTCAGAAACCTGGCAAAGACTGCTGAAGTAGAACTGCCAGAAATAATAGCTACTGTGTCGGGGAAATAAAGAGTACTATAAAAATGTGGACGGAAAAGAGTTCTTCCTATTTTCTAAGTAAATAGCAATTCAGTATCCTTGGTTGTCTTCAGTAGTAGTAATATGATGACTGTTGCCAAAACAGTATTACATTGTCCATTTTAAACAGTTGATATTTAAAAAATAAAATATTTTGATAAATAAAAGTATGCAAAAAATGAAATTGGAGAAAAACAGAAAACACTCAACTAATTCGAACTTTACGTTATTTGATATTATAAGCTTAATGCTAAATATGTGTACTATTTTTGTACTTTTTATATTACCTAGAATAGTCTTTGGTACTTAGTAAATATGGATTCTCAATGGACCACTGCTCCAATACCCCCTTTCCATCCTCTCCTCTCACCCCCAAAAGCAGTTGGAAACGTGTGGGCTGTGTTTACCTGTCATAATGACTAGTGGGCACCTTTAACAGTTAGTAAGCTAGAGCTAGGAATGTTGCATCTTATACACTTCTGTGGTGCCACCCTGTGATGTAAAGAATTATCCTGCCTAGAATGTTCGTAGCATTCTTATAGAGAGACACTATGCTAGAAAACAACAGTTTTTCCTTCTCTTCTTTGAAATCAATATTAACTGTCTGGTAAGTTCTTAGTCATTTTGTTAGCTGCTGAATAAGACATTATGTCTGCCCTGAAGGAGTTCATACTTCAGTAGAGTAGACTTAGTGTGAAAAGTATAATGATAGAAATATCTCTTAAGATATAGAGGCAGTGAGTGATTTATCTGAGGCTGTGTGACTTTGACATTTGCATTGTTTTGGGAATCCTAAGGGAAGACTGCTAGTCATAAGGAGTAGTTTACTGAGGTTCAGATATGAGATATCTTTGCTCTATTCAGAGATCTGCAAGTAGTTTGTCACCTTTAGAAAATGGATTGCAAGTTATAGTTAAAGTTGGAGAGGTAACATATACTGTGTTAAGGAGCTCGGTCTTTAGAGTGAGAAAGATTCCTTGGGGTACTAGTTAAAATGCAGATTTTTGGAGTTCTGCTCCAGAGAGTCTGACTTGATATGGATACAGTCTGACATTTTCTTTTTAATTCGATTGCATTTACAAAGAAATCCAAATTGCCTTTTAACAACCCACTAATGGGTTGTAGTCTGCAGTTTGAAAAGCATTGGTTTAGACTTTAAAGCAACAATTCTGGCTTTAGCGTGCTTCAGAATAACCTGGACACATTATTCAAATAGATTCCTGGCTCCACCCCCAGAGTTGCTGATTCAGTAGATCTGAGGTGGGGCCTGAGAATTAGTATGTCTAACAAGTTCCCGGATAGTGCTGATATTGGCCCTGGGACTGCGTTTTGAGGACCACTGATTTATAGAGAATAGGTTGGAAAGACAAGTTTCCACTAGAATGTAGGCTCTGTGAGGACAAGGAATTTTGTCAGATTTGTTCACTGTCTGTTCTCAATGTCTCTAACAATGTCTAGCATATAGGACATACTCAGTAATTATCTGTGGAGTATATGACTTGATGCAGGGAGCTCAGTGAGCTCAGTCATTATACTTTGTAGTAGTACTAGCAGGAGGAAAAGACTTGAACCAGGGCCATAATAGTAGGAATAGATTGGTACAATGCTTCTGAAGGGAAATTGACAATAATGATGGAGTGTTGGGGTGGATTCTGACTCGTAGGTCATTGACTTGGGAGGCTAGGTGAGTAGTGGTACCCAGCACTTAGCAGCACATAATATATACTCATTAATATTTGCCATTACCAGGGAAGCTTTGTTGAAGTGATGGCTCAGATTGCAGTGGGTAGACCAATTGGAGGTAGTAAAACTAAAGCGTTAAATTTAGGAAATTATAGTTTGAAAGACTGTATCTTAAAGCATTAATTAATTGTACTTTTTTTCTTGATTTTTGGCTCACAAGAAGCTGGGTTTTGCTTTGTTTTGGAGCAGAGAAGTATAGAAAGTTTGGGTGATAGCAGACTGTTTTGGGAGCCTTTCTATATAATACGTTAGTCCGAATGTGTTTTATTCAACACGTAAGTGCTTATTTTGTACTGTGTGCTATGCTAGGTGCCCACTTTACAGAGATAAACCAGACATCACTTGGGGTCTCAAAAAGTAGTCCTTTGTTACCTTAGGAAGAACCCTAGCTGTTTTTAGTCTGGGATTTGCAGAGACTTAGATTTATTAGCTGGAATTGAGTTTAGAAGTAATGTAAGTCACCTTTTTCCCTCTTTAGATGAGGAGAATGCCCAAGAAAGATAAATGATTTGTCCACAAAGCTGATTAGTGGCCAAACCAGGAGTAACTGGCTTCCCGACTTCTGGTGTAAGGCTCTCTTATGCAATTAATACCACCACCATAATAATAACGTTTATTGATCACTGACTTTATGTTAGACTCTGGTAAATGTTTTACATGGATATCTTATTTAGTCTTCAGAACAACCCATGAGATGGCTATTGTTACTGTCTCTGTAAGAATAGTCTTCAGACAGGTCTAAATACTGAGTCTGCTAGAGGAATGGCTGCTGTGGGAAATTGACCTTTAGTTTACTTTTTCAGTAAGCCATTAGAGATGTGCTGGAATTGTTATTAGTATGATGTAGATACAGTACAAATCTAGAATTTCTAGAACAGTTGGAAGTGTCAGGAGATTATAAAAATCCCTGTGAGCAGCTTCTTGAAGGATCTGATAGAAACCTCAGGTGAGTTAGGCAGCATCCCAAGAGTATATCCTAGAGGAAAAAACAAAGTAAATGTAGGTCCTTGTGTACAAAATGACTGAATTAAATTTCACTTGTTTTTTTAAGGAACGGTTTGTTACTTTCTTGGGCAATTTCCTATAAGGTTCAAGCTCTCTAGATTAAACAGTAGAGAGAAAATGTGTTAGGAAGGAGGATGGAAGAGTTGTAAATATTTCCTTTCCTTCTTCCTTTTGCCTACTTCTCCCCCCCCCCCCACCCCCCCAATCACAGAAGCTGTCTTAGGGTGAGACGAGAAAATAGAAGTGGCTAAGCAGAGAAGGGTTGTCAATCCTTGTCATAATGTAAGAGGGAGGGGAATTTCAAGAAGTATGGAGGGTTGAGAATACCTGTAAAAGCATTAGCCTTGCGGTTTCTTTCTCCTTGGATGGGATAGACAGATGGAGAATTGAGCTTTTCCACCTTGAGGATTGCCTTTATAATGTTCTCAGTGTTCAAATCAGGAAAAGATGAATTTATGTTTTTTATGTTGTTTAAGAGTTAGAAAATATTGTATTAGGGAAAGATTTCCATAAAAATAGTTAATAATGGATTTGATATTAAATAGGATAATCTTTGATTACCAAAAAATTTCTTGTATGAAACTCTGCCTGGTAACTAAGGAATTACTGTAGAAAGTTTGTTGAAAATAGAAAAAGAAGGAAATTCTTCATTACTCTAAGGTAGCAAAAATGAAGTTTGATAATTTAAAATTAGTTTTCATTATTGCATACACTTGGGTAAGAATTAGAGATTGGTTGATTTTTGTGGTTGTATCAGTTTTGAAAATGGAAGAATTTTATAAACAGACTGGTAAGCAAAATATGTTTTGTCTATATGTCCTGTCATATAGAGTTATCTGTCCTGTCACTTAGAAGTCCTTAATGTTCTTTGCCTTAGTTATGGGAGAATAAACTAATGCAATCTAGGGCAGTAGATGGATTTCATTCAGAAGAGCAGCAGCTTTTATTGCAAGTTCAACAGCAGCATCAACCCCAGCAGCAGCAGCATCACCACCACCACCACCATCAGCAAGCTCAACCACAGCAGACAGTGCCTCAGCAAGCACAGACCCAGCAGGTCCTTATTCCTGCATCACAACAAGGTGAGACTGGATATGTTTTCCTACTTACAACTTGGAAATGAAATTTGTCATTTTCAAAGAGGAGAAATACTCTGGGTTTCTCTTTTCTATTGGCTGAGGGGAGTAGGTGTGTGTGTGTTTATATATAAATTTGTATAAAATGTGGATCCTATTTGTATATTAGTGATAAACAAGTCACTAATTGAAAGCCTGAGCTGATAGTCAGATAAGTTTATTAATATAATTGTATTAATTTATTAATATGTGTATTAAAATAAGTGTATTAATTTCTTTTGAGAAGGCTGCATAATGGTAGATTTCCTAAAATAAGTCAGGTCTATAAAGGTCTATTTACTAAGGTTTTCAGTATTTCATATAGTAAAATTATCTCATTTCTTTATGAAACTGATTTGTTCCTTCAAAGACATATTTGAATTTAGTTTTTATAAATATATCTTAAACGCTAGAGGATTTTTATAATTATGCTTTGGCAATCTGAAGTTTCAGTTCCCTGGTAATTTATTAAATTGACTGAATTAGATTTAAGTGAAGAGTAGATATATAACATATGTTAATTTATATTACTTAAAGGTAAGAAAAATAAGTGTTTATATACTGTGACCATAGTGCTTTGTACCTATGCAAGTCATTTTTTAATTTTGTTTGATTGAGGTCTTACAAAGGCTGTATGAAGTAGCTCTTAGAACATTTCACAGCTGAGGAAGATCTGGGTCCTGAAAAGGCTAAGATGCTTGATCCATTACTTGTAGTTTATTCTGTCATGACAAACATCTATTCAGTTATACAGAATTCCTAGGCATTTGAGTTTTGTAAGTCTTGTTATTGGAGAGGAGAATGAAGGGAAATGAAAAGTTATTTGAAGGTAACTGTTGACCCATTTGCCTCATCTGAAAGTATATGTAAGACTTAAAATTGATAGTGATGCACAGTAGAAATGTCTATTCGGGTTATTTTACTGTTTGTATCAAATAAGACTTTTAATATTTGGTTTTATTCTATACCTTGCATCAAATAATTTTATCCTTTTGGTCTATTTTGATGACTGTTCCTCCTATTGCCTTCAGGCCTGGCACTAGGGTTTTAGGTCATCGTAAATTAAAATTTGATTTTCTTCACTCAGAGAATATTAGGATAATGGAATTATCTGTTTATTCTCTGAAATTTGCGGGATCAAACATTTAGTTCCTTTTACACTTAAGTAGCATTACCATTATTTCTGATTTGTATCTTTTTAAAAGTTGATGGAAGTAACTTAAGATTCTGGCAGTTGTCAATTGAGAGAAAAGGGATACGTAGCTTAAAAAAAAACTAGTTATAACTTGTTTAGCTCACTTTTAATGGGCTAATAACTCATTCCAGCAGTAGCGTTATATCAGTAAAACAATTAATGCTGAGTTAGCAAGACAAGACTAAATTACATTTGAAAATTGCCAGTGTAAGAATGTGCAGAAATGTATATGTTTTTAGGTGTTATGCATCTCACTACTTTATGTTCCTAAGTTCCCTTGTCTGCTTAGTTATTGTTACTCAAATCTCTTTTTTTAATTGATGTTTTCCTGTATAAGGTGGGTATATTATAACTGTTATTTACCATAGAAATTTATAACTTTCTGAGACATCAAATGGTTGAATGCAGAAAATGTGGAAAGTATGAAAAAAGTTTTCCACATTGTATAACTTCCTTATGATTGTGAAATAGCCTTATGGTTCCTTGTTTGTATGTGTGCTTGTGTTTTTTTATAGCTGCAGCACCTCAAGTTATTGTTCCTGATTCGAAGCTGATACAACACATGAATGCATCAAACATGGTGAGGCTCAGAACGTGGCACTTTGGCTCTACTTATTCTAACCGAAATTATGATTGTGCCCAGATATGTTGTATGGTAACAACTTGAAGGTTATTCAAGACTTGAGCAAGTGCCTGTTTTATTTGGTTTCCTAAATATTGGATTTAGCAGCAGGTCTAAAGTTTAGCTTGATACTTATATAAAATTATGCAGTTTTATTTTGAAAATACCAAAAGAATGATGCTTTGTGCGAGCTATTTCACCACTTGGTATTTTTGGAAAACAGGTTTAGAGGACCTACCAAATATGTTAGGCCAAATATAGTTCTGTTTCGGAAGATTTGTTAATTACAAGCAGTCAGGAATGCTAAGAATTAGAACTTTATTTATTTATTTATTTTGAGGAAGATTAATCCTGCGCTGACTAGTGCCAATCCTCCTCTTTTTGCTAAGGAAGACTGGCCCTGAGCTAACATCCATGCCCATCTTCCTCTACTTTTATATATGGGACGCCTACCACAGCATGGCTTTTGCCAAGTGGTGCCATGTCGGCACCTGGGATCCGAACCGGTGAACCCTGGGCTGCCGAGAAGCGGAACATGTGAACTTAACCGCTGTGCCACCGGGCTGACCCCTAGAACTTTTTAACAATAAAAAAATGAGCTGTTTGGATAGTTGAAGATAACTATTTTGAGGATCAAACATTTAAAAACTTTTGCTCTGATGTAACCATAGCATAGCCTAGTAAATTTTATTACAATAGTAAAATGCTACTTTAAAATGCATTTTAACCAGTTGAATTTATTATATATTAGACTTGATATTTCTAAGTCCACTGAACTTCCTAAGTCCTTAAATTTTCAAATTTCACTTAGGGCATATGATGTTTCCCATCAAAATAGTATAGTATAACTGTAAAATTGAAAGAACTCCTTCAGGTCCTTAGAAGATCTTTACCTATTTCCTTAAAGGTTTTCTTTTTTATAAAACACTGAAGTCTGATTAGAATGGCTTTTCTTTGTTCTGTTTAAAATATGTAGACTGTTAGTTGTGTCTCAGCTCTGACAATTCATTCTTAAATTCAGCCAAATCTTTGATTTAAAGGAAAGAATCATTATTTTTAAAAAGATCGCTTAGCCTAGTGCTAACAATGATTTCCTTTTCAGATTTAGATTTTTTCTTAATGAAAAGCAGTATTTTAAAAAATCACTTCTGTTTGGTGAGTGATGAGTAATGAACCTCAAAGCTCATTTGTGATTTATAAGCCAGATAGGAAGCAGGGCTGACCTACTAGACAAATGTCTTCTTTATATATACCAGCGTTACAAATTTGTAACTTGATAAAATTGCAAATTTCTACATGATAGTAGAATTTGCAATTTTTAAATTCACAAAGTATCAAGGATCTCTGTTTGTACTTAGAGTTGAAGTTACTGGAATTGCTTCTTTTGTGTGAAAATCACAAAATTCCATGCTTATCATTTCTCAGGCAGATTTTTGTATTTTTGTTTTTTTGAGGAAGATTGGCCCTGAGCTAACATCTGTGTCCATCTCCCTCTATTTTATATGTGGGACACCTGCCACAGCATGGCTTGATAAGCTGTGCGTAGGTCTGCACCCGGGATCCAAACTGGGAAGCCCCAGGCCACCTAAGCAGAGAGTAGGTACTTAACTGCTACATCACTGGGCCGGCCCCTCACAAGGACTGTTGTTATTCAAAAAAATTCCATTTCAAGTCTAATGCCCCAAATTTCTTTTTAGGTTCCACCCTTAAAAATATAAAGTCTCACTGTAGAATCCATATTGCAGTTGGTACTTTTGAGACTGTTTCCTAGGGAATAACTTGTGTCATTTTAAAACAGAAAGTTTGGTAGAATAACTTGGAGTAGGGCCATCTAGTTTCGAAGTGTTTTGGGAGAGAATTTTGAGTTAAAAATGTGTTTGAAGAGACTGGCGCAAAATGAATGGCCCATCTTTTACTTATTTGTTACATCTTCTTGATTGTAAGGAGCATGTATATTTAAACAGATCATAGGTCAGAAACTTCAATCAGTAAAATGTACTAGTATTTATTTGTATTTTAGCATTTTACTTGATGTTTTCACTCAGCGTTTGCTCCATGTATTTATACATGTTCTGAAACATACCCTCAATGTCGACTCTTTACAAATAAAAGTTTTTTGGGTTTTTGTTTGCTTGCCTTCTTATTGCTGATTCAAAGACAACCATTAAAAACAGTTTTGATCTTTTTAGTAGCTATGTATGCTTTGGAAATGAACATGTTGAAAAATTATGTAATTCTGTAAGAAGGTGGGATACTGATAATATGTTAGGTGGGAGGCTATTTCAGGGCACTTATAAAACGGGACCTTATATCAAACCAGTGTTGCAGGTTTTCTTTATGATTGCTGTAATGCATTATTCATATTAAGGATATTTCATAGAATACAAGAAGAAATTTTCAGTAGTCAGTAATAAAAGATGGGTTGTGTGTGGTACATCACTCAACACGTATTTATTGATAGCAACTTGAATATGCAGAGCTGTGCAGGTGGTTTTTATGTCTTGTATGCTATATTTATATAAACTGCTATGTTAGTTTGCCAGGAGGGAGATCTATTAATCTTTATAAAATATGAATTATAGGCACTTAATATTCCTAAATAATACAGTAAGTAGTTGCCAATATGTTCCCTAAACTGAGAGTACCTTTCATTTGCCTATACAGACAAGATTTATTTTATATTGAGTACTTAAGTACCCTATCACCAATTTAAAATAAAGAGAACCTAGGGGGCTATAGCTGGATTCTGAGGACATAGTGGGAATTTCAGGCTTAAGATACAGAAATTACTTAGGCCTGTCAAGTGGCAACAACAAAACATCTTTTCTTGGAAAGCTGTACCTAGAGCCTAGACTGGATAGTACTTGTATTTCCTTAACCCACTTGAGTATAATTTTCCAAGTTTCATTGATTTCTCTGGCATTAGGATCTGCAAAACTTAGTTATATTTATCTCTTGATGCTTATTCAAATAGAGGTGCTTCTAAAAATGTATAGGTTAGATTGAGTATATGAAGGCTTGGTACCTTAAAAAACATCGAAGAGGGAGGAGGGGAAAAACTACCTATGTATAGTTACAGTTAGGTACATGGAAATACTTCAAGCACAGGATAAAAAAACAGTAAGAATATGGTATAATTTTTTTTGAGGAAAGAAGTCTTCAGAAACAGTAAATCAAGAATTTATTCTGGACTTAAAGAAATTCAGAGGCTAATCTCATGTATATTTTTGTAACTTAAATTTCAGATACTAACTCCATTTTAAAATGTAGAAATTAAAGTTTGTTGAAATTTTTTTGTATTAATAAAACTATGATTAGTATATGTTTCACCTAGATATAATGCCAATATTGTCACCTTATGGCATCTTAGAATTGCCAGCAGTACTCCAAGTATAGTCTTCTGATAAAAGGTTTTCTGTAGAGACCTTTTGATTCTAGTATAAATTTAAAATATTAAGATTTCTAAATGAAGATACTTAAACTTTTGCCTCAAGTATATTAATTGACAACAAGGAATTGGGAGTAAGGAAACAGAGTAGAAAAGGAAATAATGGAATGGATATTTCATATATTGTACAGCATTGTTAATGTAGCTGAGATTTCCTTAGAGCACATTCTCCCAGATGAAAAAACCCAGTTATATTATTCTGTCTAATTGCTTGAAATAATTAGGTAGGACATGTAGGCTAGATGATCTTAATTGTACCATTTTATAAAATGAGAGTTAGTCTTACTGTTAGAGCTTTTCATTTTACTATATACTAAATGATAAACTTCAAATACTGTTAAGATATGCCAGAGATAAACTGAAGTTCTGTTATGCACGTATGTGGTTTTGATTTTTTTCTTTGTTTTTCAGAGTGCTGCTGCTACTGCTGCTACCTTGGCACTCCCTGCAGGTGTGACTCCTGTTCAACAGATATTAACAAATTCCGGTAATCAGGAATAATAGAACCACTATTTATATAACTTAGAAAATTGTACCATATAGCCTTTGTTTTGTCTTCATTGAAAAATAGAAAATGTTAATATTTCTTTTATCATTTGGCTTAGGTTATTAAAAATAAGATTGAGGACTATAGCACATTAAAATGTAGTCGTTGAGGATGCGTAGAGGAGAATTGCACTTGAGCTTTTGATCTGTGAATGAGAATCCTATTATTGAATGAAGTATGATTATATAGAAATGCTTATTTACTTAGTTTTTTGCTAAATACATTTAACCTGCCAAATAAGTTAAACTGGACTAATTTGAATTAATTTGTGATATTAAAGTAAGTTCTATAGTATCTTAAGAGCAAATTTATTGCTTTCTATTTTACATAGTATCTCTGTGTAGACTGACAAAATTTGCTCGTGATTTTTGGCGTATTAATTTTTTTGTTTGTTTTGTTTTTGTTTTTTTTGAGGAAGATTATCCCTGAGCTAACTGCCACCAATCCTCCTCCTTTCGCTGAGGAAGACTGGCCCTGAGCTAACATCCATGCCCATCTTCCTCTGCTTTATATGTGGGACACCTACCACAGAATGGTGTGCCAAGCAATGCCATGTCGGCACCCGGGATCCGAACTGGCGAACCCCGGGCCGCTGACGTGGAATGTGCACACAACCACTGTGCCACTGGGCCGGCCCCAGCATATTAATTTTTGAAGAATTTATTTACATGGATTTTAAGTATTTTCTCTGTTATCTTAATTATACAATTACTTGTTTTGTTAATTTCTAAATTTGTGAAGAACAAACTTGGGGCTTATCTTGCTACATATTTTAATAAGATATAATTGTGTACTTTTATTCCTTTTTTAGTGAGGAAGACTGGCCCTGAGCTAACATCTGTTGCCAGTCTTCCTCTTTTTTGCTTGAGGAAGATTGTCACTGAGCTGACATCTGCAGTAGTCTTCCTCTATTTTTGTACGTGGGATGCTGCCACAGCATGGCCTGATGAGCAGTGCATAGGTCCACGCCTGGGATCTGAACCTGTGAACCCTGGGCCGCCGAAGCGGAGCACACAAACATAACCACTGTGCAACTAGGCTTGCCCCTATAATTATTTGCTTTTTAATTAATTCAAGATTCATTTAAAACAACATGTTAGAGGAATTCAGTTCTGTGTGTATAAGCCAGTCGTACAGTTAGTGTTATGTGGCAATGATGATTGGTTCAGCAAACTTTTGTTGTTTTTAAGCACTTTTGAAGCTAAGTACTGTGGTGCTTTGGTTCAAGATGTTAGCTTTCGGTCAAGATGTTAGTGAACTACTATACTTTCATTTCTTTAAAGCTTTAAAAACGAACAGTCCCTGAAACACTTGATTTTACTTGTTGTTCTCTTATGACTCCTAACATGTTAACAATGATAATTTAATCAACTTTCATAATCTCTTGTTAAAACGTGATTAGAAAACAGCTTTATAAAGATGATAAATATGGAAAATAAAACATTTTAGGCAATGTATTTGAACGTGGAAGGAAGTCAGAGAAGGTAAGGATTATACTTTACTATGTATGGATGACGGCCCTTAATAAAATTGTTAGACTTCTTATTTGATAATTTCTAGGGCCTTTGGTGGTTGATGTTCACTGTGAATTCATTTATTTTCACATGGTTGCTGCTAAAATGGTAACTTGGATTACATACATTTTGCTTTAGGCCAGCTTCTTCAAGTGGTCAGAGCAGCCAATGGTGCCCAGTATATCTTTCAGCCTCAGCAGTCAGTGGTTCTGCAACAACAGGTTATACCACAAATGCAGCCTGGTGGAGTACAAGCTCCTGTTATCCAGCAGGTAAAAGAATCGTGAGTTGTGATCACCATGGGGTTCTTTTTTATTCTTCTATATCAATTCTCTGAGTGGTTCCCTTCCCTTTTCCCATGGCTTTATCTATATAAATTCTTAGACTCTTCTCCAGTACAACACACCCTGTCATTCTGAATGCCTCGTGTATCCCTCGCAGCTTAATTTACATTCAATATGTTTAAGACTAAGTTGTTGTTATCCCTACTCATCCTTCATCATCCCCCTGAATGTGTTTTTCTGTGGGTCGCTGGTTGTACCACTCTCCATCCAGTCTCCTAAGCTAGTTATTTAGCATTCATTCAACAAGCATTTACTGTGTGACTACATATCAGGGTCTTTGCAAGGGACTGGAAATTCAGGAGTGAACAAGGCAGGTGTGAGTCTAGTTTCATGATGCTTATGTATTTTCTAGAAGAGGGTGTGTGGAATTCTCCCTTTCCCTTGCCTTCAGTATCCGAGGTACCATGAAGTCCTCCCAGTTCTTAATAGTTCTTTTTTTTTCAGACTGCACTTTTAACATATTTGCAGTCCTTTCATATGTTTGAAACATACGTTTCATATGTTTTCTTTTCTCAGACTCTCGTCACTTCCTTAGTTCATGCTCATGATTTTTTGCTTAAAAACTGTTCTATCCTCTTCATCTATTTCCCTGCCTCCAGTCTTGTGTCCTCCTGACTGCCACTCTATAGTCATTGTTCTAAAAATCTTATAATCTTTTTTTTTAGATTTTATTTTTTCCCTTTTCTTCCCCAAAGCCCCCCAGTACATAGTTGTATATTCTTCGTTGTGGGTCCTTTTAGTTGTGGCATGTGGGATGCCGCCTCAGCGTGGTTTGATGAGCAGTGCCATGTCCGCGCCCAGGACTCGAACCAACGAAACACTGGGCCGCCTGCAGCGGAGCGCGCAAACTTAACCACTCGGCCACGGGACCAGCCCCGAAAAGTCATTAAAATCTTTTAATGACTTCCCATTGTCTATTGGAAAAAGTCTAAACTCCTCAGCATGGTTTATAAGGTCTATTTTGGGATCTTGTTTTTTTTCATCTCTCCAGGTTTATTTCATGCCATGCTTCCAGTTGTTATCTGCCTCAGCTGTTGTTTAGATCAAAGTTAACAAATATTTGCACCTACTTGAGTACCAAGTGTTAACCTGTTGTACTGTGAGGACAAAAATGAAAGAGAAATGGTTATTTTCTTGAGGAACTTAGGTACTTTAAAAAGAGAAAGACATATAAACACGTAATGTCAATTTAATAGTACAAATGTAGTGGTAAGATTGGAGGAGGAGCCTTAATCTAGCCTACTTACAGCTTTCTGGATTTTGTCCTGCTGTTACTTCTAGGTTTTGCTTGATGTTATTTTTCTATTTAGAATGCTGCCTTTGGCCTTCCTTCTAGCAACTTTCAGCACTCCCCCCAAACAAACCAAACAGAAAAGGCTTGGCTAATCTACCAAAGTACAACAGAAACTCAAGTATTACCTCCTAGGAAGACTTCCCTGACCATGCCTTGTCCCCCAAGCTGAATTTATTGCTCTCTCCTGTGTTCTCATATGATATCATACTTCTTTACATTTTCTGTCTTTTTGAGTTGTTATTGCTTTGTCTATTGCCCTGTTAATCTGTAAACCTCTTAAAGGAAATACCATCTTATTATTTTCGCATTTCTTGAACCTAATGGCAGTAATTGCCATTCAGTGCTTATTTATCACAAAGCATTCTCTGCTTTTTATTTGTTAATAACTATAATTATAAATATGTTCACTATAGCAGATATAATTAATATTTGTTAATATGTCCTTTTCAACTTGTGGTTTACTTTAGAATCCTAGAATGCAGAAACTGGAACTTTAGAAATCATCTGATCTGGTGGTTCTCAGCTGTGGTTGCATGATTAGAATCATCTGGGAGCTTTAAATAACGAGAATAGATTTCATCTCACACCAATTAAGTCAGAATATTAGGAGAGGGGCCTAGGTATGTTTAAGCCACCAGGTGGTTATAACTTGCAGCCAAGATTGAGAACCATTGATCATAGTCTAACAGTGAAGTGACTAAAGCCAAGAGAGGTTAAATGACTTGCCTCTGCTACATCTGTATCTGTCATCTTGAACAAAACTAGAACCCAGAAGTTCAGATTTTCAATACAGTGGCTTTCATAAGCAGGCAGTATAGCATAAGAATAAGAGCAGAACCAGAAAGCCTAAGTTCAAAGCAGTGCAAGTTACTAAACTTTTCCATGTTTCAAGAAATAAACTACTAACATATAACTCTTTTTTTTTTTTTTTTTTTGAGGAAGATTAGCCCTGAGCTAACTACTGCCAATCCTCCTCTTTTTGCTGAGGAAGACTGGCTCTGAGCTAACATCAATGCCCATCTTCCTCTACTTTCTATGTGGGACGCCTACCACGGCATGGCTTTTGCCAAGCAGTGCCATGTCTGCACCTGGGATCCGAACTGGCGAACCCCTGGCCACCGAAGTGGAACATGTACACTTAACCGCTGTGCCACAGGGCCGACCCGTAACATGTAACTCTTGGTCTGGAATCTGGCATGTACATAGAAAGTGCTCAATAAGTGAAGCAGTTATCTTCATAAAGTCTTTTTTCCTTTAGAAATTTGAGTGGTAAAGTGGAAATTTAGTGGATCAGTATACTCATTAATCATTCCTTTTGTGCTTTGGTAATTTTAACTCTGTTTGAGATATGGCCATTTTTGGTGATTCTTCAGCATTTGGACCTATTTCTGTGTACCAAAGTAATGCAACTGAGCTACTTGATCCTCTAACTAGTTCCTAATAAGTGCTTTTCTTTTGTCTTAGGTACTGGCCCCACTTCCGGGAGGAATTTCACCACAGACAGGTGTCATCATCCAGCCTCAGCAAATCTTATTTACAGGAAATAAGACTCAAGTTATACCCACAACGGTGGCGGCTCCTACACCAGCGCAAGCACAGATAACTGCAACTGGCCAACAGCAGCCACAGGCCCAGCCTGCTCAACAGCAAGCTCCATTGGTGTTACAAGTTGATGGAACTGGGGATACATCATCTGAAGAAGATGAAGATGAAGAAGAAGACTATGATGATGATGAGGAGGAAGACAAAGAGAAAGATGGAGCTGAAGATGGGCAGGTAGAAGAAGTAAGTTTCTGGTAAAAGACTTGAAATGAGAAGCTACTCAATCATTTCTTTTCCTTGGTACCAAACTGATGAATTATGTTGCATTTTTTCAGAGGTTGTTAGGGTGCTATACAACATAGGATTTTAAGTATAAATTTAGACATTGTTGTAACTTAAGACTTTTAGATTGTTCTGGTTGTATTTATCTTCATAAAATGTTTCATATAGCTAGTAATAAAAAATGAATTTATACCAAATTAAGTTGTATTTATAAAGGTAATGGAGAGAGTGAAAGTAATACTATTTCTTTGGCCTATGCATTCATGATGTGGCTTAAACATAAGACATTGGGAGAACAGATAGATGTGTTTAATCTTTTGCATCAGTAATTAAAAAGGTACAGTAACATTTGGGAGGAGAGGAAACTTAAGAAAAAAGGTAAATGTGATTCATTCAAAACCTCCTTTTGGTCCATATTCCATACCAGTTCCCTAGATAACCTTATTTACTCTTAGTGTCTATCTTCAGTTTAACAAACTGTCCTTTCTTATTCATCTTTAGTTATATATTTATAGAAGTATATAAGTATATCTTCGTTTTCCAGCTTAGTTACTTGAATTCAAGATAATATTTGTCTTACTACAATTTTCATTCTTAATTGCCTTCTGTACCCTGACATGTAACTTTTTGTTTATCTTGGTACAAAGTTCTTTTAAATTACCTAAGTAATATTTTTTTAAATATTATTTTTATTAAATATTGAATAGATATAAATGAATAAAAATTATTTTAAGATATAAACACCGCAGTGTCAACGTAAGTTAAAAGAAAAAAAATCCCATTACTTCATTAAAGTCCCCTGGGTGCCTGTCCCCGATCCCATCCTCTTCTGCCATCAGAGTAACTATGCTCATGAATTTTGTGTTTATCATTAACTTGCCTTTATGTTTTACCACTTGCATTTATATTCCTAAAGCATATTATTTAGTTTTGCATGCCCATTTATAACATAAATGGAATAATTATGTATTCTTCAAGTTTTTTTTCCTGAAGATGGTATTTCTGACACTCATCTAAGTTGTTGCCATATCCCTATAATTTTTTTCACCATTGAACATACCATAATTTGTTTATCCATATTTCTAATGTGATGGGCATCAGGGGTGTTTCTGCTTGTTTACTGTTACAGACAGTTATAAAATATTCTTGTGTGTGTCTTCTGCAGACACATATGCAAGAGTTTCTCTAATTTCAATACCTAAACATTGAATTGCTGGATCCCAAGGTATGCACAGCTTCAACTTTACAAAAAATGCCAAATTGTTTTACTAGTTACATTCCATTCAGTGTATAATTGTGCAGATGTCTCCATGTCTTCACCAATACTTGATATTGTCAGCTTTCTTAATTTTTGCCAGCTCGGTAGGTAGAAAATGGTATTTCATTTTGATTTTAATTTGCATTTCCTTGATTACTGATGAGGTTTAGCCTCTTTGATTCTTTCATATTTTCTCTGTAGACAAGTAAAATATGAAAAAAATTTTTCTTGCCTTGTTGGCTAAGCCCTCCAGAACAACATGGACTAGAAATAGTGATAGCAGACACTCTCATCTTTGTCTTTAATCTTAAAAGGAATCCTTTTTCTGTGTTTCGCTATTAAGTATAATGTTTACTGTGGGCTTTTTATGGATACCCTTTATCAGGTTAAGGAAAGTTCTCTTCAGATTAACTAAGCTTTGTTTTGTTTTTTAAACTATAAACAAGTATTGAATTTTATTAAATACTTTTTCTGCAACTATTAGATGATTATGTGATTTCTTTAAATCCTTAATCTCTTATTTATGATGAGTTGTATTAATTGGTTTTCTGTTTGTAAACCAATTTTGTATTCCTGCAATAGCACAACTTGATCATTATGTATTACCCTTTTTATGAATTGCTGAATTCACTTTGCTCAGGGCTTTTGGATGTATATTCATGAGTGATACCATCTGTGATTTTCTGTTCTCACACTCTTCTTACCAGGTTTTCAGGTTATGGTAACCTTATAAAATGGATTTGGGGGAGTGTTCTCTCTACCTTGGGCTGTTTTTTTTTTAGATTATACTTAATTCTTCTGTGAATATACCTCACACCATATACAAAAATCAATTCAAAATGCATCAAAGACCTAAATGTAAGACATAAAACTCTTAGAAGAAAACACAGGGCAAAAGCTCCACAACATTGGATTTGGCAGTTGTTTCTAGATATAACACCAAAAGCACAAGCAATCAAAGAAAAAATAAAGTGGATTTAATAGATTAAAACTTTGGTGCATCAAAGGAAAATATCAAGTAAAAAGACAACCTGCAAAATAAGGAGAAAATATTTACAGATAATATATCTAATAAAGGATTAATATTCAGACTATATAGAGAACTCTCAAAACTCAGTGACAAAAAACAAACAACTCTATTCAAAAATGGGCAAAGGACTTAAATAGACGTTTCTCCAAAGAAGATATGCAGATAGCCAACAAGCACGTGAAAAGATGCTCAACATCATTATTCATTGGAGAAATGCAAATCAAAACCACAAAGATAGACTACTTCACATCTACTAGGATGGCTATGATCAAAGAAGAAATAAAGAGAAAATAACATGTCAGTGAAGATACAGAGAAATTGTAACTTTGTTCATTGCTGGTGGGAATGTAGAATGGTGTAGCTGCTGTGCAAAATGGTTTGATGGTTCCTCAAAAAGTTGACCATAGAATTACTATATGACCCTGCAGTCCCACCCCCATGTATATGTGTAAGAGAATTGAAAATAGGTGTTCAAACAAAAGCTGGTACATGAATGTTCATAACAGCCCTCTACACAAAACCCAGATGTCCATCAAGTGATGGAGGGACAAATGAAATATGATATATCCATATGATGGACTATTATTTTGCCACGAAAAGGAACTAAGTATTGGTATATACTACAACATGGATGAAGCTCAGATATTATGCTAGGTTAAAGAAGCCAGACCACATATTCTATGTGTATATTGTATGATTCCATTTATATGAGATATCTGGAATAGGTAAATCTATAGAGACAGCAGATTAGTGGTTGCCAGAGGCTGGAGAGAGGCAGGAATGGGGAGTGACTGCTTAATGGTAAAGGTACGAAATTGTTCTGGAATTAATTAGTGGTTGATGGTTGCACACATTATAAATGTACTAAGTGTGACTGAATTGTACACTTGAAAATGGTGAATTTTATGTGAATTTTACCTCAGTTAAGTTTTGTTTTTTGGGTTTTTTTACATTTACATTGGTGATATCTATTTTAACTTAAAGAATATATATACATACTTGTGTGTGAGTAGATATAGGCCTAATATCATCCTGATTATTTTCCATTCCACTTTTATTTTGTCCTATCTTCTCTTTCTTCATTAATTAGGAATCTGATTTATTGCCACAACTGAGGTCAAGTTTAACATAGTTGACCATTTTATGCTCTAGTTAGATCTTGGCCTTTAATTCTCTTTAGGACTGAGACTTTAGTATTGAAATTTGCACCCCCCCCATCCTCTTACTATGAATGACTTAGTTAATTATGTTCTAAGCCTCCACAGTCACCATCACCTCGGTAGACATGCTAATTGGTATTCAGAGTCCTTTCCTTAATGTAAAGATAAGCCAGACTGCTTGCCTCTTTTATAGCCATTTTTCCTCCTCCAGTTTCACCATTATTTTTCCCTTTACACTGCTGCTGGTGGTGGTACATAGTGCCATTATCTCTTTAAACCTTCATATTTTCCTAGGTCTACTTCTAGGCATCTTAAGCAGTTATTGGAGAGAATTGTCTTCTTGTGCTATTCTGAAAGAATGAGAGAAATAAAGCTAAATATCTTTTCAGACTTACAAGTTATGTGGCTTAACTATTTTCACTGTTGTATTTATTTTCTTTCTGGAATTTCAGTAACACTAGCTAAATCTTAACACAGGCAATAATATGTGAAGTATAAATAAAATCTCCTTTTTTATTTGTAGGAGCCTCTCAATAGTGAAGATGATGTTAGTGATGAAGAAGGACAGGAACTCTTTGATACAGAAAATGTTGTTGTATGCCAGTATGATAAGGTAAGGATTTCAGCATCAGATTACTGACAATTTTTTCTGTTGTATTTCTTCCCTAAACCATCCTTTCTGACTTGTTCCAGCATTTGGACAGCCAATTGATGCCTCTTATACTCAGTATAAACAGTGTGAATGGAAACATTGTTATAGTTTAGTAGATTATTTTAATAGAATGAGAAGTTAATTTGTGTAGCTTTACATTTGAAAAATAAGTTATGAATGAAATCCTGAGCAGAGTTATGCTTTTTTCAGTTTAGACTATGCCTCCCAACTTGTTAACTAAGTAAGTAGAGCCACTTTGGGATTGTCCTTGAACATCAATAGAAACTCAATGGGATAACCCTGTATTGACCTTAGCCTCAACTGCCTCAAAACTAAAAGGCTGTAATTGAATCTCTGTAACTTTTTTTTTTTTTTTTACTAAGGAGAGAACTAGAGCAATAAACAGGACTGATAACTAACAGAGACATTTTTACAAAAAATCATTTAAAAAATTATTTCGCTTTGCTAAATTTTGGTAGCATTAGGAACTTTTAAACTAGGTTCTCTGAGAATTAGCTAATCACTCCTTGTTTTCTTTTTTTTTAATTAAAGATTTTATTTTTTCCTTTTTTTCCTCCCCAAAGACCCCCGGTACATAGTTGTATATTCTTCATTGTGGGTCTTTCTAGTTGTGGCATGTGGGACGCTGCCTCAGCGTGGTTTGATGAGCAATGCCATGTCCGCGCCCAGGATTCGAACCAACGAAACACTGGGCTGCCTGCAGCAGAGCGCGTGAACTTAACCACTCGGCCATGGGGCCAGCCCCAACTCCTTGTTTTCTTAATTCTTAAAAAAGGGTTCTACTTTCCACGTATTTTTGTTATAGTTACTGGCATTGTTTAGATTTTGTTACTTATCAAAACATTTAATTTGGAATAAGATTTGTTTTCTGATTATAAGCATGAAATTTATAATAAATTCACAAATTATATTGCATTTATAATTTAATTTCAGCAGATTTTTACCAAATGCTAAAAACTCTAACAGAAGCAGTGGGGTTTTGTTTGTAAGCACGACTCATTCACTAAACAAAAATTTCTTAAGTGCCTAAACGTGCCAGGCATTGGAGCTGTAGTCATGATCATGCAAAGTTTGTGCTTTGCATAAATTTTTGTTACATGATGAAAATCCTAAATTTGTGTTGCTCTTATAGAAATGAATGTTATAAATAATAAGTAAGCCATGCTTATCGCAAACAGACCTATAGAGAAAATGTTGACACAATGGATCTTATTGTTTCCTGATGAAAAGGTAAAGTCAAGCTGGTTATATACCTGTCAAGTTAGAGAATAAAGTCAGTGAGGTCATTGATTTAGAGTTATCAGAGCATCCACTTTTGTGCCTTATGACGTATATCTGAGTGTTCTTAATACTCTACATCAGACACATTATAATAAATGTAATTTGGTGTTATATTCCTGTAGAGTAAGAATAATACAGGAGATACCAGTAAAGCTTTATTGTCAGGAAATCTCAAGGGAACCTTTGCAACCAAATTTTCTAGAACACAGTTTCATGATAAAAAGACAGATTTATCAGGCAAGAGAGGACCTTAGCTTAACTGAAGAATATACTTCCAAGTATTTTCATATTATAAGAGAATGGTTCTATTCTTCTTTGGTATAAATTGTACACGTAATATTTTAAATGTTAAAGTTGGTTTGTTTTGCTCCCAGAGATATTATTTTAGTGTCTTAAACTAAGAAATTAAAAGTAACTTTAAATAGTGTGTTGAATGATAAACAGTTGTAAATTTTGGAGTGATCTAATTTTTAGAATCAAGTGAGTTCTGGAGACAGAGAGTTGGGGGCTTGATGTTTTAGCCAACAGTAAAGAATGGTGTTGTTCAGTCTACGACTGATTAAAATGGGGTTGGATATAGTTTGAGTTAACTTGAATTTTAGGAGTTTATTTTTGAAGCCTAAACTTTAAAATTTTAACAATTTAGAAGCCATCATAGAATAATGAAATTTCTGTTGCCGATCAAATTAGAATCTTAGTTAAACTTACTATGAGGCAGAATTCTCCTTTAAGTATTGGTAGATAAGGATGCATAGGTGTTTGAGGCTTCAGTCTTCTTTATAGGTAATTTTATGTAATATGTTTGTCTTTAAGAAATTTAAGAGGCCTTTCTCCTGGCATTCAGAATACTCCTACATGAAGGGCTTAGGGGCAGTAATGGATTGTTTTTCAAGTTGCATTTTGTGATTTTATTCAAATAAGAATATTTACCATTCATTATGCAGTGACTTCAGTGCTGAGTACTGGGACTATTATTTGATCCATGAAACTTCTACATTTGCTTTTTGCAAATTGTCTTGCATTAGAATGCAATCAATTTCTTTGTGGAATTCCTTTTAACTAGCTAGTCACCACTTTCTTGGTTATATAATCCCGTGGTCTTTCAGGTTGCAGTCACTTGGTTCATGCTGTAAATAAATTTGTATACCCATTTTTAGGATAATACTTTATCTGTAGAGAGTCAAAGAAAAGAGGAGACAGAGGTCTTTTCATTCAACAAATACTGAGTGTCTATGATGTCCCAGGGCACTAGTGAATGAAACAGAACAATCTCTGCCATTGGGATGCTTACTGTAGTGGAGGGGGACAGATGCTAAAACATAATAATAAATTAACATGATATGTTAGAAGCTGATAATTGGTGTGGAAAAATACAGAGTGGGAAGGGGGACGGGTTACAGTTTTAAATAGGACAATCATCTTACTCCTTTCGAGATGAAATTTGAACAGACTTGAAGAGAGTTAGCCCTGTCATTATCTGGTGGCAGAGCCTGCCTGTTATGTGTAAGGAGTGACAAGGAGGCCACTGTGAGTGGACCTGGCCGGGGGCGGGGTTGGGGAGTATAGTAGTGTGGGACGTTGTGAGGACATGGGCTCTTACTCTGAGTGAACTGGAAGCTATTGGAAGGCTTCAAATAGACAAATGTCATATCATTTGCATTTTAATTTTAAAAGGATTACTTTGCCTTCTTTGTTGAGAGCAGAGTGTGTGGAGGAACCAAAGGTTGAAACAGGGATATTGTAGTAATCCACATGAGAGATGATGGTAACTCAGGCTATGATAGTATTGGAAGTGGTGAGAAGCAGCTGGATCTTAGATATTTTTTCAAGGAAGAGTCAGCAGTGTTTCTTGACTCTTCTTGGATGTATGGTAGAAAAGAAAAAGGAATCAAGAATGCATGAAGAATGGAGATGCCATCAACTCAGATGAGGAAGGCTGCAGATGGAGTGAGTTTGGGAGGGGAGAGTGATCAGTTTTGGACATGTTTAGTTTGGTTATCTGTTAGACATTCAAATAATCCATCTTAAGACGTTAGGTTTAATATCTACATAGTGTACAGATGGTCTCTGACTTGTGATGATTTGACTTAATGATTTTTTGACTTTATGGTGATGCAAAAGCGATATGTATTTAGTAGAAACTATACTTTGAATTTTCAGTTTTGATCTTTTCCTGGGCTAGTAATGTGCAGTATGATACTCTCTCATAGTGCTGGGCAGTGGCAGTGATCCGCAGCTCCCAGTCAGCCAGATAATGAGGGTTAACAGCCAGTACACTTATAACCATTCTGTACCCTTACTACTCTTCTATTTTTCATTTCAGTACAGTATTCAATAAATTACATGAGATATTTAACACTTTATTATAAAAATAGGCTTTGAGTTAGATGATTTTGCCCTACTGTAGGTTAATGTAAGTGTTCTGAGCATGTTTAAGGTAGGCTAGGCTAAGCTATGATGTTCAGTAGGTTTGTTGTATTAAATGCATTTTTGACATGATATTTTCAACTTCCAATATGTTTATTGGGATGCAATCCCTTTGAAAGTTGAGGAAGATCTGTATTCAGACCAGAGATATAAGAGCACTTAATGCTGTACTCTCTGCCCTGACTACTGTTTTAACTTTATTGTGCTCTATTTTGTTTTAATAAGTAAGAAAAATTTGGTAAGTGTTAAATGTGTATATAGCTTAAGTCAGTGATCTAGAGAAGAGCATGAGAATGGTTTGCAAATATATGAAAGGTTGTTTGATTTGTTTTTTTAATTAAGTCACAAGAGGCAGAGCTAGGATCAATAAGTGGAAATTTGGAGGAAGCAGATTTCAGTAAGGGATAAAGTATGAAAGACTTTTAAAAGAACTGTCCCAGAAAGGAATACCTTAATGTGCAATTCTTTGCCCCCGACTTCTAATCATACCCAAGCAGACACTGAACAATGATTTGCCAAAAATATGCCATAGAGAAGGTTTGCAAGGGGAGGTTAGACTATGGAATTTTAGGAATGGGATCTCAAAAAATATCTGTACATAGTGAACATTTCTACATTACTGTATGAAACAGCTTGATTTAGTAAAAAAGAGTATTGGGCTGGAACTCAAGAATCATCTTTGTCACTTAATAGCAGTATGCTCTTGGTCAGGTAGTTGAACCTCTCCAGGCTATAATTTCCTCTTTTGAAAATGAAAGCCTAAAACTACTTGATTTTGAGGTCCTTTTCAATCAGAAGAGGGAGAACCATTGGTCCTTCTTTGAAGAAGACATTGAGCTTAAACTGAACATTGAATAATGAGTGGGACTTACTAGGAAAGGGAAGAAAAGTCATTTCAGTTAAGTTTTACAACTCCTTTTTAACCTAAATCCACAGAATTGCAAATAACTAAAAATTATAAATGAAGGCAAAGATGAGAATGGTCAGGGCTTGGCCCAATTTGAACTCTACCCTTCCTCCTTTGGCTTAACTGTGGATGTTATGTAGTTTTTGAAATCTGCTGTAAGTGACTGGATGATCAGCCATCCTTCAGGTGTATTTGTTAAATGCTGCCATGTATAAGGTTCCATGTTAGGTCTTGAGAAAACCATAAGGAGTTTTATTTTGGTAGAAAAAAATCATTCCATAATTGTATATACTTAGAAATAATACTGGAAATATCTTTCGGAATGCCATTGGGAATTAATCAGTAGGAAAGAGTAGTTGTAGCTGATGAGATTAGGGAAGGCTTTGTGGAGGGCACAGTATTTTTGAGATGGATCCTGAAATAGGAATTGAATTTGTAAAAATGGGAGCAAGGGGGATAACTTCTTTTGAGTGAAATATAGTCTTTGAGGAATGTGGAGGTAGGAAATAAGCTTGGAAAGGTGAGTTATTACCAGGTCATGTAGAAATAGAAATAGTCAAGCAGAGGTGATTGGTTAGAGTTGTGTTTCTGGCAGTGATATTTATAAGATGATTGGAAGGGAGGAGAGAGTGAAGTCCTGGAAATCAGAAGATTACTGTAATAAGTCAGATGACGAGGTTATTGATGTAGTAAGTAGAAGATTATTGGTGGCCTTTGAGAAAACAGTTGCCAGGTGTCCTGGAGACAACTAGAGTAAAATTAGAGATAAAGTAATTAGAGGTTAGAAATAGTAGTATTAGTATGAATACTGGTACTGTGAGGCCACAGTATTAGAAGGGTCAGCAATGTGGAAGTTGTTACCATATGTGAGGAAGAAGAGGAGAATGGTTGTAAACATGATACCAATGAAAAGATAGTGTCCTGATGGTCAGCAGATATGAGGAATGAAGAAAAGCCTGAGGTTAAATGGTGTGAACATAAAAGGAGTTAATAGAGAAAAGGCAAAACAGTGGTCTAGAAGCATCAGGGAGAACAAGGGGTATTCTTGTTTTAAGTATTTGCCAGTATAAAATGTCTTGTGAAAAAAGAAAGTGTATATGGCAAACCTTGTGTTTAGATATAGAGGTAAAATATTTTCCAGAAAATATTAACAACTGCGTTAATAAAAACAAATACTAAGAGCTAAAATAATACTAATTATAGATAGATTTTTTTTTTAAACCCATCTAGTGAGTGAATGTGTTTCTTTCTTATTTTTTTTTCATCAAATGAAACTTCACAAAGAAACCAATTTGTCCAACCACAATGGTATGAAACTAGAAATCAATTACAAGAAGAAAACTGGAAAATTCACAAATATTTCAAGATTAAACAATATGCTACTGAACAAACAGTGGGTCAAAGAAGTCAAAAGTGAAATAAAAAAATACCTTGAGACAAATGAAAATGGAAATAGAACATACCAAAGCTTGTGGTAAGGCAGCAAAAGCATTTGTAAGAGGGAAGCTTGCAGAGATAAATGCTTGCATCAAGAAATAAGAAAAATCTCAAATAAGTAACCTAATTTTACACCACAAGGAGCTAGAAAAAGAAGAACAAATGAAGCCCAAAGTTGGTAGAGGAAGGAAATAACAAAGATCAGAGCGGAAACAAATGAAATAGAGACTAAAAAGACAATAGTAAAGATCAGTGAAACTAAGAGCTGGTTCTTTGAAAACATAAACAAAATTGACAGACCTTTAGCTAGACTTACTAAGAATAAAGAGAGAGGACTCAAATAAATAAAATCAGAAGTGAAAGAGAAGGATGTGACCTTTGATACCACAGAAATATGAGGGATAATAAGGGACTGCCATCAACAGTTATACACCAACAAATTGGACAACCTATAAGAAATAGATAAATTCCTAGAAACATGAAACCTTCCAAGACTAAATCATGGAGAAATAAAAAATCTGAACACATTGAATACTAGTAAGGAGATTGAATCAGTAATCAAAAACCTCCCAACAAACAGACGTCTAGGGCCAGATTGCTTCACTGGTGAATTCTAACAAACATTTAAAGAAGAATTAACACCAGTCCTTCTCAGACTCTTCCAAAAAATAGAAGAGGAGGGAGCACTTCCAAACACATTTTACAAGGCCAGCATTACCCTGATACCAAAACCAGACAAGGATACCACAAGAAAGGAAAATTAGAGGCCAATATTCCTGATGAACATACATCCAAAAATCCTCAACAAAATATTAGCAAACCCAATTCAACAGTATTTTAAAAGGATTATATACCATGACCAAGTGGAATTTATTCCAGGGATGCAAGGATGATTCACCATCTGCAAATTAATCAGTGGGTGAGACACCACATTAACAGAATGAAGGGTAAAAATCATACACAGTCATTTCAATAGATGCTGAAAAAGCATGAGACACAATTCAACATCTCTTTATCACCAAAACTCTCAACGAAGAGGCTGTAGAGGGAAAATACCTCAACATAATAAAGGACATGTATGACAAGTCCACAGGTAGCATCATACTCAATTGTGAGAAGCTGAAAGCTTTTCCTCTAAGATGAAGAACAAGACAAGGATGCCCATTCTTGCTAGTTTTATTCAACATAGTATTAGAAATTGTAGCCAGAGCAGTTAGGCAAGAAAAAGAAAAGGTATTCAAATTGGAAAGGAAGAAGTAAAACTGTTACTGTTTGCAGAGGATATGATATTATATGTATAGAAAACCCTAAGGACTCCACTAAAAAACTGTTAGAACTAATAAACGAATTCAGTAAAGTTGCAGGGAACGAAATCAATATGTAAAAATCTGTTGTATTTCTATACATTCATAACAGACTATCGGAGAAATTAAGAAGACAGTCCCATTTACAGTTGCATCAAAAAGAATAAAATACTTCAGAATAAATTTAACAAGGGAGGTAAAAGACCTGTACTCTGAAAACTGTAAGACGTTAATGAAAGAAATTGAGGAAGACACAAATAAATGGAAAGATATTGCATGCTCATGGATTGGAAGAATTAATATTGTTGAAATATCCATACTACCCAGAACAATCTAAATAGATTCAATGCAATCCTTATCAAAATTCCAGTGGCATCTTATTACAGAAATAGAAAAAATAATCCTAAAATTTGTATGAAATCGCCAAAGACCCTGAATACTCAAAGCAGTCTTGAGACAGAAGAACAAAGCTTAGAGGTATCATGCTCCCTGATTTCAAACTATATTACAAAGCTATGGTAATCAAAACAGTATGTTATTGGCATAACAACAGACCTGTAGATCAGTGGAACAGAAAAGAGAGCCCAGAAATAAACCCATGCATATGTGGTCAGTTAATTTACAACAAAAGAGCAAAGAATACACTATGAGGAAAGGACAGTTCTCATCAATAAATGGTGTTTGGAAAACTGTAAAAGATATAAAAGAATATAAATTGGACCACTATTTTAAACCATAACACAACAATCAACTGAAAATGGATGAAAGACTTGAATGTAAGACTGAAAACCATAAAACTACTAGAAGAAAACTTACACAGTAAGCTTCTTGACATCCGTCTTGGCGGTGATTTTTAGGATTTGACACCAGAAGCAAAGGCAACAAAAGCAAAAACAAACAAGTGGGACTACATCATACTAAAAAGCTTCTGCACAGCAAAGGAAACCATCAACAAAATGAAAAGGCAACCTTCTGAAAGGGAGAAAATATCTGCAAATCGTATATCTGATATGGGGTTAGTATCTAAAATATATACAGAACTTGTGTAACTCAATAGCAAAAAAACAAACAATCCAATTAAATAATGGGCAAAAGATCTGAATAGACATTTTTCCAAAGAAGACGTACAAATGGCCAACAGGTATATGAAAAGATAGTTAATGTCACTAATCATCAGGGAAATGCAAATCAAAACCACAATGAGATAGCACCTCTCAACCTGTTAGAGTGACTATCATCAAGAAGACAAGAAATAATAAATGTTGGCGAGGATATGGAGAAAAGGGAAACCTTGTGCACTGTTGGTGGGAATGTAAATTGGTGCAGCCACTATGGAAACCAGTATGGAGGTTCCTCAAAAAATTAAAAATAGAACTACCATATGATCCAGCAATTCCACTCCTGGGTATTTATCCAAAGGAAACAAAAACACTTAACTTGTAAAGATATATGTACTCCCATGTTCGTTACAGCATTATTTATAATAGCCAAGACATGGAAGCAATCTAAGTGTCAAATCGTTGGATGACTGGATAAAGAAAATACAGTGTGTGTGTGTGTGTGTGTGTGTGTGTATGTATGTATGTATGTGTATGTACAATGGAATATTATTCAACCATAAAAAAGAAGGAAATCTTGCCATTTGTGACAACATGGATGGACCTTGAGGGCATTATGCTAAATGAAATCTTAGAGAAAAACAAATATATGATTTTGCTTATATGTGGAATCTAAAACAAACAAAAAAATTGAACTCATTGATATAGAGAACAAATTGGTGATTGCCAGAGGCAAGGGGTAGGGAGTGGATGAAATGAGTTAAAGTGGTTGAATGTTACAAACTTTCAGTTGTGAAGTCAGTCAGTCATGGAAATATAACTTACAACATGGTGACTGTAGTTAATGATACTGTTTTGTATATTTGAAAGTTGCTAAAAGAGTAGATCTTAAAAGTTGGCATCACAAGACAAAAAAATTTGTAAATGTGGATGATAACTAGACTTATTGTGGCAATCATTTTGCAATATATACAAATATCAAATCATCATGTTACACCTGAAACTAATATAATGTTATTTGTCAATTACATCTCAATTAAAAAAAAACAAGTTTGCAAATGTAGTAATGTACAAGACAAAGTTTTTTTAGTGTGTGAATGGATTTTTTGTTGTTGGTTTCCTGTCTTTGGATTGTGTCTCTTACATTCTTTTTTTGTTTGTTTATTTAGATACACAGAAGTAAAAACAAATGGAAATTTCATCTCAAGGATGGCATTATGAATCTTAACGGAAGAGATTATATATTTTCCAAAGCCATTGGAGATGCAGAATGGTGAAGAGTTGGTTCTTTTCTTTTATAAATAAAACAAAACAAACTTAAAAAAATTTTAAAGTGGACAGTTTGAAACTTGGGTCATACACCAACCAAAACTTAACTTCTGCATGTCAGAAAAGTGCAGTAGAAGCAAAGCTACCGGAACAAAGAGACCTTGACAACATAGACACTACTTCTAACTGGCAAGCCATGGAACTGTAGCACCTGGGGTTGTTGGGGGTGGGGGGGTTGGGGTTTTGTGTAGGAAAACCATAATTGTCGATTTTAAATACAGGTACCTGCCACCAATAATTAGCATGTAAAGCTATGTCTATATTCCTTCCTCCAACTTGGGTTCAGTCAGAAGATACTTGTTGGAATGAACTGAGGAAACTTCCCTTTTGATAGATTGAACTGAAACTGTTTATTGTATGTGGTTATATTTGGTAAAAATGGCGTGTGAGCTTTTTACAAAAGGGTAAGAATTATGGTGTTGAATTTTAATTCACTTGTTCAAGGAAACAATTTAGAAACTCTCATAGTAGGTCTTAAATATTTTTACTTACTATTTTCTCTCAGTAATATATACCTCTTCCTTCCCTGCTTTATGAAACATCTATTAAAGAGTTAAAGGAAGTAATCAGTGATCACAGTTTGGAGACAAAATTTGACCCAGGAATCGATATATATTTTAATTAGGTTTCATACTCATTAAATGTAGTTTAAAGACTTGGGTCTCATCTGAGTTGAGCAGAATTAAAATGACAACTTCAGTTTCTTTACAGAAAAACGTATTTGTTTCTTTTAGTCTGACACCTTAAAAAGAAACCTCAAAGTGGCTCCTCAGGAATATGATTTTATTTCACAAAGGTACCATCTAGCAGAAATAATACACATATAGGTAGATACAGATTTTTTTCCTCTTGGGCTGAAGTGTATGCTTATATATGTGTTTAGTTTTTAAGCTAAACAAAAATTCAGTTAACATTCTGTGCATTGATTAGAGCATTGGAGAGGTGGTGAGGACCTGGATTTTTATTAAACAATTTAGTAATTATAAAAATTTCTTGTGTTTACTAGTAAATAATTTAAAAACTATTATTCTAATTGAACACATTTTTTTAAATGCAACTTTGTAATTTGAGGGGAAAACTTTGTTGTTAGAGGGGGGTGGGCCACTAAATACATATTTACCTCTCTTTCATTTGGTGGCCCTTCCAGGCCATTGATAATATAGATGTGGGCTCCAGTTTGCACATCGAGAAGAAAGCATAGAAATTTGATTTGTATATTAAAAATAATAGAAATTTAATATGTATATTAAGAATGCATAGCTCTGTATTCTGTAAGGGGCTCTAAAGAACAATATGGCAGTGCTGCGTTCAGTGTGAACTAGTTGCCTGGGAAATCTGTAGGAGCACTTCTCTTTATCTTTGTGTTCTTACAACTACTTCTTTTCATGGTTTATCTTGACAAAATTCACATGTGTTTAAGTTACTTGTATATTGAATGTTTTTTGTCTTCCATTTTTGTCTTCCTTTTATTTGCCTTTGTGTGTGTTTCCAGAACTAACATAGAAACACTTTAAAGTACATTGCAAAGAAAAACTGTGAGCTCTTATATGTTGTTTTTTAACACAAATCCTTAAACTTCTCAAAAAGGCTAATCATTTTTTTTTTGTTGCCTGCTTGCCACCCTGCATACCAACTTGGTCCCTTTAACTTATGTTCTGAACTTTGGCATAAATGCTGGTTTCTAGCATGCTAGTAGTTAGGTTTTATTTAGATGCCATAACTGGTAATACGGTTTTTATTTTCACTATATTAATTTAGTTTTTTGGAGGGGAGGTTTATTTGTTTACCCTACTACTCTTTAAGCACACAAAGGTTTTTTCGTTTTTGTTAATGAGACTGGGAGAAGAGAAGGGAGGGGGTGAAATCACGGAAGTCCTGTCGTTCAGTTGTCCTTCAGTGTAGTTGCAGTAGGTTTATATTTACCCAATGAAGAAGTCAATGACCTGAACTACCTATAAAAGTTTAGCAGTGCTGCAGTGTTGATTGAAACCCTTTGGCTTTCTAGTAGTTCCTGTGCTACTGACTGTGGATTACTATATGATATTCAGCTCGTGTTTTGGGCCCTCTATGTAGACAAACATTTGTATTCATGGTAGAATTGTATACTAGCCTGTTTTTATAACATTTTTGAACATGAACAACCGTTGCTTTCAGAGTGACTCAACTAGGGTTATTTTGAAGCAGGAAATAACCATTTGTATTTGCACCTGTGAATTGCATATTAATTATGGCATACTTGGCAGATGCTTTTCTTTTACCTGTGAAAATTCTGAAAGCTGGTCCAAACAACACTGCATACCAAATTGTGCTCTTATATGTATTACTGCATTCTGTTCCTTTTTAATCAAATAGCATGTCTTAGTTTTGTTATAGTGGCTTGCTATAAGAATGCCACTTGCTTATCTTTTATTGTACTTGAATTCTTAATCATGTTTTTAACATTGTATTTAGCAAATCATTTCATTAGGTTCTATAAAAATGTCATTCCTTTGAAAAGGCAAGGATTCCCACTTTCAGAATTTTAAAATGAAAATAGCTTGTTTATTCAAAGAGGGAAGAGAGTTCAGACTTGGTATTGTGAAAATAAGTAAAGGTTTCCGGAGAGGAGTTGTTTAGATTTGCACAGATGGTGATGGCACCTTTTATTTTAAAAAAAGATTAACATGTATCAACAGTGCTAAGGAAAATTTACACAAAATGACTAAAGTGTGGAAATGTGTGCCTTTCAGTATATGTACTCTTTTTTTGGTGGTCATTTGGATAATCAGACCATTTGAATGCCTGAGAGCACATTTAATTTCTGTGGAGAGCCACATTTGGCTAAAACAACTCTTTAATGTGCAATTAGTTTCTAGAGTAAAATGTCTGTTATATGAAGGGGATCTTTATATTGGGCTTTTATATTTTTTTAAATGTTCACATTTCTTTTTGTTAATCAAATGCCATCATAATAGCACATTTATATTGTTGCCTCTCTTAAAATCAAAGCCACCTTAATGTTACTCTTCTAGGAATCCATCAAGAGTTGAGCAGCATGTATAGTGATTAAATATGTCCTTGAAGAGCATATTCTAATAGATTCTGGTTTTAGACAGCAAGAACATAAAAACAGCTTTTGTGTAAAGATTTTCTTTTGCTATAGTGAAAATCAAGGATTTGGTTTTCTTATTTTTTCTGGCTTTTATGGAGGAATGAAAAGGGTTGTCTCTAAGAGTAATTTTTGATTATCTTATAGCAATAATATCACCATTCTTTTCAGAAGGTAAATACGCCTTGTACAGGAAACAGATGTAATTTCCTCTTGGGAGTTCCCTTTATGACTTAGCATTTTCTTCCAGTTAAGAAAATTCCTATATTTTCAGATTATTTCATCTTGAACTTTTTTGAGCTTTTGTGCAATGTAATATTTTATTAATTCATCTTTGTACATTTTCATTTTATTTCATGTCTGTCTCTCACCTGTCTGAATCAGCTATTTCAGATTTTGAATTCATTGGTTAAAAAATAGTTGCTTTATATATTTCCTCATGAGTTTATGTTAAATAGTTTTGCATTTTAATCTATTATGCTATGGAAATTATTCTGAAGTTTATATTCCCTTTTTAAGCCTGCCTTAGTCTATCTTCTGTCATTTTTATGGTTTAAGGAAGAACACATCGAATTTAATATTTTTGTTTATTTTGTGGAACAAGGGAGACTTTTTTTTCTTCTCTTTTAAGGGAAGAACTACATTGAGTTAGTAACTACTATTTCAGTCAAGGTTCCTTAAATCAGTCCAGTATGTGTCAGGGCTACAATTCTGGGGGAGAGACTAATCTTTTTTGCTGTTCTGAGCTACTATTGTCAACTGCTGTTGTACATACTGTTATGTGTAAGGGCGTAAATATATTTATTATGTTTGTAAAATTCATTCTGTACAATTGCAGATCAAGGTTGCTCTTCTGTGATATATGGGATATTATGTTTTAAAGACCATCTTGGAATACAATTAGAGAACTTAGTATTTTGATGTACTAAGACCTATTTTAAGTTTAATATTTTACCTTTGCAAAAACTTTAATTAAAGATGTTATTTAAAAAAATGTTGCTTTGCTTACTAGTGTATAACATTGTTATATAGATAACTGAATAAAACCATGCAGGTTAGCAAGGAAAATGCTTTATATTGTTAATGAGAATAAGTTCCATTTATCAAAAAAAGATACCATTAAATTCTATACTTTAAAATAAGTAGGATGGGATGTCAGTCTGAATTATTAAATTGTGTTACTAATAATAAGACAATAATCAGAAACCATTTTTCCAGCTATCAAATGGCTAGGAAAAAACAATACTCTGTCATGATCAGGGTGTGGGTAAATGGGCCTTATGATAGATTGCTTAGAGGAGTGTAAATTGGTACAAACTTGGTGGACAGAGGGAACAAGAAGCACAAATGCTTTTGAGTGAGGAAAGGAGGACAAGGTACAAAAGTTTATCCAAGAGACTTGAGTGTAGTGATCATGAGGGAGGATAGATATTTTGGGAAGGAAATAATATTCATATTTTATGATATATTAATTTTGTCGTGCCCATTAGACATCCAAGTTGAGGTATCAAGGTGGCAAGATAGATATAAGCAAATGGAGCTTAGCAGGGATATCTGAGCTGAATAATGTCTTTGGGATTTATTATCATATGGAGAACATTTAAAGCCATAAAAATGATCCACCCAAGCAAGAACATGAAGAGAGAATCGAGAAAGGAAAAGGGTCCAGGGCCAATCCTAAAGGCAATCCCAAGACAGATTGGGAAAAGGAGTAGTTAACAGGACTGGCTACATGATTTGCAGGACCTAGTGCAAAATGAAAATATGGGGCCCATTCTTCAAAACTTACTAACAATTTCAAGATGGTGACAACAGAGCATTAAACTAAGATGGACTCTGTGTGACTGCACTTGTCACACGCCCTTGAAGCTTGCCCTGGAGGTCAGGGAAAATGAGGAAGCAAGACCAGTGAAGTAGGAAGAAAGGGGAGAGGCTGTCGAAGAGGACAATATTTTAATAAGGATTGGGCCCTGGTTGGCTTAAGCCATTCTTCCCTGGCCATGGTCATTGATTCAGGGGTAGGAATGTGACCTAAGAAGTCTTATTTGGTGAATTTCAGGACTCTTGCTTGAAGTGCTCAGACAACATATCTCAATCTTGTTAGATTTGAGTGAGGAAGCATGTAGCTCCAATTGCATTAGCAGCTATCCTATGACCTTGAGGAGAACCGAACCTAAAATAAAGATGACAAAGGGAGGCAGAACAGAAGATGGAAAGGAACACAGGGTTCTTAGTGATGTAACTAAGCTGCTTTCAGTAGGTAGTTTATTCCGTTCACAGTTACTGTAGGTATTGATTTCATATTTTCTGTTTACCATTCTTTTCCTTTATTCCATCCCTCATCTCTGCCTTTTTTTAGTTGTATACAATTTTCTGCATTTTCACCTGCTGATTTGGTGGCTTGGTTTAGGCCAAGGTTGTGGGACTGTCTTTACTCTTTTGCTTCCCTAGAGCTGCAGGGGCCTTTAAGCACAACCCCTAGACACACAGTAGAAAATACTGTAGGGTGAAATAGCACAAGCTTTGGAACCAGACTGATCTGGGGTTATCTGCCAGGTGTACCTACTCTCTCTGAGCCTCAGATCCCTCATGCAATAGACATAGTAATGGTTATCTTGCATCCTTGTGATAAATAAATGAAAAGCAATAGGATATATTAGAATATATGAGGAAGCCATTTGGTTTAAAACTAATTTGACCTGACCTTGTTTTTCCAAAAGGGCCTGACATGGCCTATTGAACATGCATTGTACATCTGCTTTAAATATTTACTATATCCAAAAGATAAGAATTATGCCCCTAAAGATAGGGATATAACCCCTCCCATATTGGCATTTCCTTTAGGATAAGCATCTTTCTCTAAACTAAGGATTAATTACTGACTTGTTGTGCTCACCTTGCGACCACTGACGTGCTGTGTTCGCTGATCTGTGCCAGCAAAGTAATCTTGTGACTATTGTAAAAGGGACTGTCATGTGATGTATGCTCTTTGTTCCAAGATGGTATATAACCACTCTGCACCCTACTTCTTTGGTGCCCTTTCTTCCTTGGAGAAGGAAGGTCCCAGGCTAGTCCTCAGATCTGGCTCATAATAAACTCACTCCAATTTTGATTTATAGATTGATTATGGATTATTTTCATCGACACTTGTGTGTGTAAAGTGTAGGGCACATATTAGACTCTGAAAATATTTTATGTTGGCAAAAAGAACCTTAGGACTCTTCTGGTTTGATCTTCATATTCCACAGTTGAGGACTTTAAAGCCCAAAGAAGTGATCCAAATGGCCAATGTTGTGCAACGAACAAAGGGTATAGCCAGAAGCTCTCCTGATACCTAGGTAGGCTCCCTTTTCATTTCTTGAGGCAGGCAGCCTATGTGCTGTGATGTTCCCTGGCCATGTTTTGTTGAATTTGTTTTTGTTTTTTTTGTTGGGCATAAAACTGAGTGTCCCAAAGGTTTCTTAATAGTGGTAGTAGTTCTTTGTACACGTAATGTATCATGATCCAGTATCACAATATTGTGCTGTTTATATACACTTTTAGTTTGCATAAATTAGGTGTGTGTGTGCTGCTTCTTGATTTAGGCAAGGCTTTATGAAATTACAGTACCTAATCTGTTATTCCCACTTCTCTGTTATTTCTGTGTCTTTTTAAATATATAATATATATCAAGATTTTCAAATTATCATTTAGAAGCAGATTTCCCTTGTAGAAAAACTCAGTTTTCTGCCTTTTACCAAAAATAAACTCTTGGGGGAAGAAAAGTGGATTAACTTTCAAAATCCTTGACCTTAATGTGTTCAGTGGCTCTTAAGCATTCATTCTTTTTGTGTTTGTTTATTTACTGCTAAATCTCATTATAAGGAAAACTTGCTGAAAATCTTTCCAAACTGTTGAATTTGTTTTAACGGCATATGCCTAGTTGCAACACAAGGATAACACTTCTCCTCTTCTTACACCCAGCCTACTTTACATATTTATGCTAACTGCATGTGTTCTTTGGCACTGAGTCTGTGGTCCCCTGTGACAGCCTGTCAGCCTCTCCTGTTGGTTTTAAGAACAGATACAAAAAGAGTTATGAGATATCCCCTTTAATTTGAAGTCAAGTAGTTGCCCTCCTAGACCTTTCTGTTTTCTCCAAGGCTTATCAGTGAGAAGCTGCTGAAAGCCTTGTTACCCTTTCAGAATACAAGGCAATTGTAGTTTGCAACAAGGTGGGCTATTGAGGCAGGAGGGGATACCTGGGGACCTCCAGAGGTTCTGTCTGCTCAGTCCCATACCCCCTTGTGTGAAATACTCCTAACTGTAATTAGAGAAACAAGACACACCTGGCTCCTTTGTTGTTTTAAATCTCAGGGATCTTGGTTTAAAGAAATGATTTCCATTCCTTAATCATCTGTTTATGAGAGCTCCAAAATGAGAAAAACTTCAAAATCTGAAGACTTTACACATGCAATAGGATGAGAGAAACTTGAGGGGTCATCTGAGTCATTTTTAATTTTTTTAGAAATAGTCATTTGGAAGCCATCAAATTGATTAAAATTTAGGCAATTATTAAAAGCCTTAAGAATATTCCATAGGATTCCTTAGGGGTAAAATTGGGTCACTTGAGTATAAATTCCATTAGGGCTGTGACTGTCTTTCAAATACACAACTATATTCCCAGGACTGAACTCTGTGCCAGGCATATAGAAGTACATATTTGTGGAATGAATAAATGAGTAAATAAAACTGATCTGCTGGTTCATTTGAAGAAAGCCTGGGATCAGTCTCCTTCATTCTGAAAAAAGCCCACTGACTTTTCTGCAGAGCTGACAGAACTTCCACACTAAGATGCCATAGGTTAGGGTGGCAATGCGGGGCAGGATAAGTAGGGCCAGGAAAACCAAGAATTCCACCCAGGTTAGTTTCAAGAGATGATGAGATTAAAGGCTTACTATGGGTGTTTAACTTCAACAGGATAAATGAGGGGGTATTTGTTTAGGCTTCCCAGAATACCCTTCCTATTTTGCTTCATACCGAACAGGATGGAGGACAGGGCTACGCTTCTTTTTACAGAAGTGGAGTGCATCCAGAAACAGGGGCCAAAATCTCCAGGTGGCCATTCTGATGCTTGCACTCAGGGCTTAAAGGCTTTTTTTCCCCAATTTTTTTATTGTGGTAAAATACACAAACAAAATTTAGCATCTTAAAACCATTTTTAAGTGTACAGTTCATGGCATTAAATACATTTATTATGTGCTACCCTCACCACCATCCATCTCCAGAACCCTTTTCATCTTGTAAAACTGAAACTCTGTACTCCCCGTTCCTCCTTTCCCCCAGCCCCTGACAACCACCATTCTACTTTCTGTCTCTTTGATTTTGACTAAGTACCTTGTGAAATAGAATCATACAGTATTTATCTTTTTGTGACGGGCTTATGTCACTTAGTATAATATCCTCAGGTTAATCCCTGTTGTAGCATGTATCAGAATTTCCTTTTTTAAGGTTGAATAATATTCCATTGTACATATATACCACATTTTGCTTAGCTATTGTGAATAATGCTGCTATGAAAACGGGTGTACAAATATGTCTATGATACCCTGCTTCCAATTGTTTGGGCACGTACCCAGAAGTGGAATTGCCGCATCATATGATAGTTCTATGTTTAATTTTTTGAGGACCCACGGTACTATTTCCACAGCAGCTGTACCATTTTGCATTCCTACCAACAGTACACAAGGGTTCCAATTTTTCCACATCCTCACCAACGCTTGTTATTTTCTGGGGGTTTTTTGATAGTAGGCATCCTAATGGGTGTGGGGTAGTATCTTATTGTAGTTTAGATTTCATTTCTCTAATGGTTAGTGATGTTGAGCATCTTTTCATGTGCTTGTTGGCCATTTGTGCATCTTCTTTGGAGGAATGTCTATTTAAGTCCTTTGCCCATTTCAGGTTGTTTTTTTGTTGTTCGGTTTTAGGAGTTCTCTCTATATTCTGGATGTTAAT